TTTCCTTGTTTGTACCAACATGTCATCACAAACGGTATTCATTTTGAATGAGTGTGTGCCACATTAATGCTTAGCTTTCCACTTGTTGCCTTCATTCGGCACGTAAATGAATTGTCTCACAAACATACACATACCCATACGCACAAACATGTCAACTAGTTCAACTCTTCGATATTATTCGCAAACACACACTCTCTCCCGTTCGTTCGCTCGGCACTCTATCTTATTCCCCTATATCACGCACGTAAATGCCGTTGAAACTGTTATGCTCTCTTGTGCACCATCCATATGTTTGACTTGCATACAATTTTCCAATCTTTGTTTATGATTTTATAGTCAGTCGATGAATTTTCTGAACGATTTGACCCGATTGTTAACTGTCGTTTACCTTGTCATTCATATAAACTATTGGATCATTTCGGAAAAAAAGAAAGTAATACGGGGATTTTCACTGTGTTTTCTCGAAAAGTTAACAAAATATCATGACAATATATCATAGCATGATACATATTTTTTTCACTCGCGTCAATTTTTTCCTTATTCACTACATGTTTGATGTGCTTTTTTTGGTGTCGGATGGGTGTCATTAGGAAAAATATGAAATATGATTCGGCAAAAGAATCGCGGAGTACGCTATATGCTACATTTTTATATATTGAGTGGTTGGAAAATTGAAAACCATGTAATATGGATCAATAGAAAGAATGCAGGGGGTCACATATTGATTACAGTTGTAAGCGGCGAGTCTTTACACAAATTCAACGAGAATATATGCACTACACACGTATAAAATATATTCGTACGCTGACAGGCACTGGTGAATGTTTCGAACGATGCAAATCGACCCGCAAAATGCGGCACAAATACATTTGCGTCACACCGAGTATTGAATGTGAACGGCTGAAGTGTAAGGCTGTAAATGAATTTTGTACGATGACGTGGTAACTCTGGTTGGACTTATTTATTCTGGTTGTTTATTTTGTTGTTGGGGGGAATTCCAGTTGACCACAAAGATCTTAAAAGTCGAATGCAAACGACAAACAGTTGTCAATAAAATTGGAATTTGCTTGTTTTCGTTTTTGTAATATTTTAAGTCGATTTCTTGGAATGTTTCATTATCATTCGCTGTTTGTTGTTTTTCGCTGCTTTGAATCACTCAATAAGAATAAAACGAATAAAAACAAAAATAAACACAATTTCAGAAGAAATATTTAAGAGGAAAAAAAACTATTACATAAATTGATGAATAAATGAATATTTGAACGGCGAAGAAAAAAAAAATGTTGGAAATGTATACAAATATGTAGCATATGGAATGAAATCAAGTCGTTTTTTTACAGCGATACCACGATTGTAAAATGCAAATGTTCGATAAGGAGGCAATCAAAAACGATTAAACGAATGAGCTATGGTTGAAAATTTGCTGTACAACGACTTTTTGTTTACCTTCTTTGTTCACAACAAAAAAATGCATGTGCCAAGTGAAAAATTGTGCTTTGGCGCACAGTATTTTTTTGTATCTAATTATCACGTATTGTTCAGTATTTTCTCTCTCTCTCTCTCTCTCTCTCTCTCTCTCTCTTTCTCTCTTTCGGTTTTTCATTTTATTTTGGCGTCCTTTCTATTGGCCCGTTTTTATTTAGCCAGCCAGCCAATGACTATGTATCGCTTTAATTTTTATGAAACAGGTTTGGAAATGTTGGCGAATGATGAAAAATTAAAGCAACGGAACCAGCGCAACGATTGGATTTATGGTTTGCAACGTTGCATCGAGACAGTTACACAAAGATATTACAAACCACGACAGACCGAGACGAAAAAAAATATATGCTTGCATGAAGCAGTGTGAAAGAAAGAAAAAAGTACCTACAAACGAACGAACGTAGTACATTGCGCTTGCTTATTTTAACTAATCCACAATAAAAATATGTTTAGTTCGTACTATCACAAATATCACAAGCGAGTACGGAACGCGAGAGAGAGGGCCCCCAATCGAATTGAATTTTGCTTTATTGCAATATTTCTTCTTTTTGTGCGATATCTCAAGTATCGTTTTAGCAATGAAATAAAGCGAACTACAAAATACACAGCAAGGCATTGGGGGACATAATGCAGCGCAGAGCCCAGTCAGAAAGCACAATGAATTGAACCACTATCACACAACATACACATATCATTGGGCGAGTATATCCATTGGAATTCCTTCTTTTTTTCTGCTTTTTCGCTTACATGCACTAACACTCATTCTTTCACTTTATATCGTACTTCGGCTGTTGTTGTTACTCCTGCTGCCGTTGTTGTTTGCCATGGAATCATTTAACTCTGGCAGTATGTTTACACAACCTTTCAAAATTCGTGCATTTTTATAAAAATATGCTTGATCCCACAATGGTTACACAGACACGCACACACAAACACATACAAAATTAAAAGAAAAATATTGAAAATTTGACGGTGCGTCATCTGAAATCTATTTCACAATCTAGTTTTCAATTGTCATTTTTTCTCTATATGTACACATATTGTACTATTTCTTTTACTAGCTGCTTGTATGCTTTTTCCTTCTCTTTGGGTTGTTCCACTACATTCAATCGTCTCGCACTTATTCGCATACATACATTCGCTGCTTGATGTTCAATTTAGTTGTTGGCTTTCAGCGTTTTTTTTTTCTTCTTCTTTTACATTCTATATATTTATTCCGTTCCATTTGATTGAAATATATGTATATATTGCTTTTTGTGCATACGTTTCTCTGCATTTTTGATTGATACGGTGTGTACAGGTTTGCATTGCATTATTATTCATGATTTTCAATTAATTCCATTTCGTCTTGGAAAAATTGATTAGTATTGTTGCAATTACATCAAATTGATAAAAAAATAATTTCGTCTTTCTATAACATATTTGGCTATATATTGTTTGACGTGTCCCTTGTGAAATGGATGTGTATTACTCATCGTTGAATGTTCGTTTGTTATCATTGTGCTATCGGTTTCGCTTTTTTGTCCACCCAATTATTGAATACGGTCATTTCGTCAAATGAAACGAAAACAGTGTTTCCCAGTTCAACGAAATGCTTGATCAGCAACATACAGACAGCTAAAATACCAATTTGATTGAATAAATTATTGATGTCGCCGTTTGCAAATTTGTTCACTTTTCGCTTGAACACTGGTTAAATGTCACCAACAAATCGATTTGAAAGCAGCAACAAAAAAATATGTATAGAAAACTGCACTATCAAAACATTCTTTATGACGCATCAATAGATAATGAATTTGAATGAAAAAAAACCTACATCGTCCATATAAATATGTTTTTTTTTGTCAGAATTGAATTCAGTCGCTTGGAACTGATTGGCTGCTATTCTGCAAATGCAAAATTGCGTTTGATTGTATGTTATTAACTTCTTTAAGTTGGTTGTTGTCTCTTGTCACTGAACGAGCTGGAGTGGTGTGTGTTGAAAGACGAAAGATACTACTTCAAATGACATTCCACTTTGGCTAACTCCAATCGTTTGCTTGATTCATTTTACTGGATACAACGAATGTAATTAATACAACTTAACGAAATGGATTTCAACCAGATGACAATCTCATTTGAACCATACGGTTGTGGAAAAGTGCCTGTGTGATTTTCACCCATCATCAACCTTCACTCACTGACTGATAGAAACGCCCACATATATATATATCACCCAAATTCTATATGAATCGTCGGTATAACATTCCATTTGTTTGATATTGCACCCAGAATTATTCACTTTTCACGCATTTATCCCTGATTTTTCCAATCACAATTCACTATTGCCCACTATTAATTTCCATTCAAATATTAATTTGTAATAAAAGTTTTTTTCTTCTTTTAAATCACAAAATCCTTTGGAATTTTTTCGAACAAGTTCTGTTGATTATTTTCTTTTTCGTTGGCTAACATATTTTTTGGTTTTTTAAAAATTAAACTTTAATTTAAAATTACTTACGCGTTGAAAATAACATAATTTCGTTGTAAAAATAATGCACAAGACATTGGAATACGGTGCAATTTTAACATTTTTGCTACTGGTGTGTCGAAACTCGTTTTTCGCATATGGAACGAAAACAAGAAACTGAAGTACAGTGGTTTTGTAAGGCGAAAGACAGGAAAAATATGTATAACATATAAAGGCAAACGAAGACAATTTGCTGTGCTGCTGCTGTGTTGTGTCGACTTGTGTGTATTTACGACGAAAAAAGACACTTGATTTTTGATGTATTGTACAAAGTTAATGTTATTTTCTTTCCTTTCATTCTCTTCCATCTGGCCGTCTCGCTCGCGCATTCCATCAACATGGCACGACCTCTGTCGGATTGCATTCAAAATTGAACTGTTTTTCTCGTATGATCCACAGCCGGTCTCAAGTAGGTGCTTGCGGGTGCCGCAACATATTGAAAATATAACACATTTTAAAACGAAATTTCACTCAATACCACAATACGATCCAATACCATTCACAATATTTCAAGTATTTTTCAAAGGCTAAACCACGTAAAATAAATATTTTTTTAATATCTCACTTTAATTTGATGTGGCATAAAATTAGATACGTTCACCCACATAATCGAAACGATGCCATCTGGCGATTATTATACAGCATTTCAGGTTTGTGTCAAGGACAACCAATTTGAAAAAAAAAAACGTTCAAACTTCACATATCAAAACCTAACAACAACTTGTTGTCGAACAATAAAAAAAAACCAACAAATGTTTATTATTGCAAATCAACTGTCCAAGAAATTGTTTATAGTAATGTGGTTGCATTTAATTGCTATGGTGGTCAATCATATTGATTTTACGTTTCCATGCTTACATTGCTCCATGTCAAAGTAACAGACAAGATGCAATTAATATCGCGATGTCACTTTGTTTATTCATGCTAATTTCAATGTAGGAATTAAATGGACCAGAGAATGCTATAAAATACGCCTTGTATCAGTTTTTCGCACAGTTTGATCAGTAAACACAAGACAAGATGACTAACAAATCTAAACATTTTATCATGTGTTTTTTATTCGCAGCCACAGCCATGGCAGTTGAAGTACGGCGAGATGAAAAGGTGTTTCACACATAATCTTTTTTCTTTCATATTTCATTACAAATGAATTTTTAATTATAATTACGATTTTTTGTAATTACCACAGTGGCCACCCAAGATGCTACTTCAGTGGTTCCTTCCAGCTGCAAAGGAATGCAAAGAAAGAACAGGAGTATCAGAAGGTGAGACAGATTCTTTTGCCTTTTTCAATACTAAGAAATCGACTCCTTGTCCAATCGATTCGTAATGAAATTTAATTTCTTTTAAAACTTTCAGAAGCAATTAAAGAATTTGACAGTGGCGAAATTCATGACGACGCGGCCTTGAAGTGGTAACAATTGAATTTCGAATCTGTAAAGGATCATACCTATCGCACAATGTTTTTTCTTCACAGTTACATGTATTGTGTTTTTGAAGTTCTCGAATTGATAAATGATCAGGGTCAATTATTTATAATGAAATTAGCAGATCACATTGAATCAAATTACGACGAAGAAGTTCAAAATATTGCATTTCAAATGGGTAAAATCCACAATAATTTGAGTTTTTTAAAAGTGCATTTAAATTTTATTCACTTGATAGGCCGGAAATGCTTACGGCCAGAAGGAGAAAATAATTGTGAAAAAGCTTTTTGGTACCACAAATGCTGGAAGACTCGTGACCCTGTTGTACGTAACTTACTCTATGTTTCATAATTTATTAAATATCATTATTTAATTGGCATTATTTATTTGTTTTAGCATTACTTCCTGATTTGATTTTAAGTTACAGTTTGCACGCTAAAGAGAGGAACTTGGTTATGGTTTTATATTATCTATCAAAGACTACTTGTTTTGTCAAAAAAATAATAAAAATGATTTTCAAGAAATATCAATTTTTTGGTGTCAATTTATTTCAAATTTAAACAGTAATGGTGTGGAAATAACAGCAGTAATTTCATTCGAATTAATATTTGTTGTAAAAATCAATTGTTTTGTTCAAATATTGAGAAAAAATAGTTAAAGAATGAAGTAGTGGTAATAATTTATATTATGTGTAGATTTCCAGTCTGTTAGTCTTTCTAATAAATGATTACAATGCCACACTCAGTAATTAAAATATTGTTTGGGATGATTGAAAATGACTTAATTTGTGGTATGACGTGAAGAACTATAATTACACAAGTATCTCTCGATTAAGATTACATTCGCATAAGGATTTGTTCATAATTTTTTGATACGACAACAATCGATTTTTCAACGTCCCTATTTTATTTGAGAAATCTTAACGCAATGTCATTTAATGACATATACATTCATTTCAAGCAAAATCCAAATCATTTCCATCGCCTCAAAAATGATTTGCTTTTATATTTCAGCACTCACTGATTGTTTGAGGTAAAAAAATTGAATTGCTATGAGCAATTTTTGTGTTGTGCTTTACTTATAAAATCAAATGTGAGCTTAATGTGAACAGCGGCAGTGCAAAAGTTCATCATATGAATGTATTACATTTCATTTTTATTTTAATTACAGATTGTGAAAATGTATAAAACTTGACAATAAAATCAAGTTGAAGCCAATTGTTCTGTTCATCAACTATTGCAACAATGTCAAATATATTTCCGTTATTTTTACTCGCATTATTTGTAGTTGGTTGCAAATCGTTCTTTTTTCTGAAAATTGAACCGCGGCGCGATGATGAAGTTTGTATAGAATTCATAGTTTTTCGTGAATATTTAATGATTTGACTGCTTTTTTGTATACAGTGGCCTCCACAAGAAATTCTTGAGACTTTTAAACCAATCGGTGAATTTTGCAAATCTAAAACCGGTGTAACGGATGGTATGCTGAGCTATAGTCTTTTTCAATGTCAAGGTTTATTTTAGATCTATTTTTTTGTCCAACTTGCAGAAGCTATCATAGAATTTAGTGACGGTGTAGTTCACGATGATCCTGCCTTAAAATGGTAATCAATTGTTTAATCGATTAAATGCCACTCGCATTTCATTTTATGTATTTTAGTTACATGCAATGTGTATTTGTGGAAGCCAAGGCTGTGGATGAAAAAGGCGAAGTTCACTTGGAACTTTTGCAACTTCACATTGACGATTTGGATGAAGAAATTCAAAATATTGCAATTCGTATGGGTAAGCCATTTTTATCAACCAATTGTAAAAATGTAAATTATTCGGAACTCCCTTCTAGGCAAGAAATGCCTTCATCCCGTCGGTGAAACATTATGCGAACGAGGTATGTTCTCAAAACATGACTTTTTTAAAACAACATATTTTTCTCAGTATACACATATTTTTCATCCTTTTAGCTTTCTGGTATCACAAGTGCTGGAAGCAAGCCGACCCAAAAGTATGCTTAAAACATAAGAGAATTTTTATTCTCTATCCAATATGACAATTTTTTAGAAGATATATTGATTGACTTTAGTGTTTTCATTTTTCCAGCATTACTTCCTTATCTAATTGCTACTATGCTCAAAATTTGGAGGTTGGAATTCAACAAATATCAATTCAAATGCATACATGAAATGTTATAAAATAAAATAAAGTACCGTTGATATTTTGAAAGAAAAACTATTTGACTTTTAAGATCAAAATTCCTATTCTGAACAGAAATTTCTGTTCAATCGATCATTGAGAATAAATTAGAATATGAACATTTATTTGATTGCATCTATCAATATATTTTGATTGCAAGGAAATAATAATTAATAGATTTTGGCGTTGTTGAATGGATTTCTTTGACCCATATTTGATATCATTAGACATGCAATATACCTCCTTATACCTTTATATTCTTTCAAACCTGATGTTCATAGGTTCTGACATAGGCTTGCCAAGGGGAGGGTAATCGGCGAAAAAATGTGGGGGGTACTTTCACATTTCAGCAAAAATCCTACCAAAAAGACCTTTGCAAGGGCACGCAAATAGTATGAAGGAGGGGTTAATACGTGGCCTGCGTGCCCTTCTCAGAACCTATGCTGATGTTAAATCGGTACCGAGCCTTGCTTTGAGTTTGGAACAAAACAAGAATTTTTATTTCCAATCTGGATTTGAAAACCATAATTTTTAGAGACAGAAAATACAACAATATAAGACAGATAACAAGTGAAAAGTCAAACAGAAATGTTTATTCCAAAATATGAACAAAAATTTTATTTTAAAATATTAAATATGTACCCATTCAAACAATTTGCAATATTTTCAAATTTGATCCATCCACCAAATGTTAAGCATAGTAGCAATTAGAGAAGGAAGTAATGCTGAAAAAAATAGAAACGCAAAAGTAACTTAATATATATCTTCTTAAAAATTGTCGTATTAGTCATAGAAAGCATACTTTTGGGTCAGTACTTTTCCAGCACTTATGAAACCAAAAAGCTGAAAGATGAAAACATAGGTATAGCATATATTTTCTTTTTCAAAAAAATATGTTGTTGTAACAAAATCATGTTGTTTTAAACATACCTCGATCACATAATGTTTCACCCTAAAAAGAAAAGAAACACATAGACACATTTTGAAAATATATTCAAATTACATTTTAACAAATGGTTTTCGAAATAGGCTCACCTGTGGATACAGACATTTCTTGCCTACAGAGAGAAATAGAAATAATGTTATGAATAATTTACATTTTTATAGATGGTTATTAATTGATTTACCCATATGGATTGCAATATTTTGAATTTCTTCATCCAAATCATCGATATGAACTTGTAATAATTCTAAATGAACTTCGCCATGTTGGTCCACAGCTTTGGCTTCAACAAATATACATTGCATATAACTGAAAAATTTAATAATAAATGCGTATGGTATCATGTTTCTACATTTAAATTGGTCATACCACTTCAAAGCGGGGTCGTCATGAATTTCGCCGTCACTAAATTCTTTTATGGCTTCTGCAAATTGGGCACAAAAAATAGATTTGAATTTAAACCATGATATTGAAAAGGATTTAAACATAGCGTACCGTCCGTTACACCGGTCTTGGCTCTACATACTTCACCGATGGGTTTAAAAGCCTCAATAATTTCTTTTGGCGGCCACTGTAAACCAAATTTATTATTTTATTAGCTATATTGACCTATAGTTATTATCTTATACAAACTTTTTCATCACGTCGCGGTGTAACTGTTAAACATCCAGTTGCAAATAATGAGAGTAAAAACAATGAGCGATTCAACATTGTTGCGGTAGCTGATAAAAGGAATTGATTTCAACTCAATTTAGTCGTCAAGTTTTATACATCCTCACACTCTGTAATTAAGAATGTTTAAAAAAAAATAATATTTGTCGAGGTGATGGAAATGACTTGACTTTTGATTGAAATAGACGACACCGCATTGAATGTGTCTAAGTGAATTGGATGGAAAAAGTCATTAAGTGCATGATTTTGACAAATCGATTGTTCTCAAAACAATGATAAATTGTAGTGTTGCTGAGCAGTACGCTAGTCTATGTTTCATAATAATTTTCATTACTCACATTTCAAAATACGAAGCATGTTTGAGCGGCTGAATTTCATCTTGTGAATTGAAGTGTACATAAAAATGAAGTGGAAATTGCAAACTTTTTTGTTGCAATCGGATACTTGAAATTGCATTCGCTTGACATAATAATACATTTGTTACATGTTGAATATTGTTGTATATGCTATTGTTGTATATCTTCAATGAATGCAAGGTATCGATTTAACTTTATTATATGTTCCTTTCACTCATTCTCTTCCCTTACTTCTTCTGTAAAGTAGTGATTAGCGCCACTTCCATTGAGTGAAATGTACATTCATCATCTTCGCTTCAAAGGGCAGAGTCATGTTATGTGCCAGATATAAGCAAGAGCTGATCAATATAGGACAAGAAAAATGAGAATGCGAACAAAGCAAGCTCAACCTATTGTTGTGCGATAACTGAAGAACTCGTTTAATGAGTTTAAGAAGTTATCAAGTGTACTCATATTTCCGTTATTTATCGAGTCGAGTTTAATGGTACACAGAAATATGCGTTGAGTACCATCACACGAAGCTGGTCTAAACTTGCAAGCTATGTATTATGTTGGATGTTAGGAGTCAAACTATACAAAAAATTTTTGACGACATCATTCAAAAGCAAGCAAAATTTTTGTAAACAAATTTACCGAAAACAAGTGGCACGATTTTATCTAAACCATGCTCTTGGATAAACCGAGCAAAACAATATGTACTTGCGAGCATATAACATAAGGGAATAAGCACACTGCCAAAGAAAAAACCCGTTTACATACGTAAACAAAGCAAGAGCAAAATGTGAGACTGCGCAAAGCGGTCCATAAAAGGATGTTGCTGGATGCTGGAATAAGTAAGAAAGAGAAAGGCTTTTTATTCGCGCGGAAACTGAAAAATTTGTAGAAAAAATGTTTTCCATCTGGATAGTATCTATTCGTACAGTTTCAGAGCTAGCGAGCAAGTGTGTGTGCGAGAGATTTGAGAAGGCGCTTTGGTTTTTGAAAGCACTTTTACATGACATCCATCGACTGTACGCTCACTGAAAATCAGACATCTTTTTTCTATTCCAGGAGATAGCACGCATCAGCCAATTCTGTGTGCGTTTCATTTTGCAAATACTTTTTTTGTCTGACATTATAATTTATGTTCAAATTGAAATATTCATGGAAACGGAAAAATGTGAACATTTGAAAAGTGATTGGTGTAATTTTTTAAATTTTAAAAATAAACAACGCTATTTTTATTGTGGTTAATTTAGACGCAATCATTGTAGTTATAAATAGATGTGACAACGCCCTTTATAAAAATCACCATTAGTACTACTATTATCAAAGGAAATGATGTGAAAAGTAAAAAAAGTAAATTTTCCAACAAGAAAAAATACAGGAAGTTCTGTATTTACCAAAAAAACGGAAATTATTACTTAAAAACGTGAAGAAAAAACAAAAACAAAAATGATTTGTTATAATTTGTAAAAGATAAAAAGGAAAGTGAATTTTCGGAAGGTTTCGACAATTGTTACGTAACATTGTAAAAAGAGCATTGTGTATATATTGTGAGGAGGGTGTGATAATGAAAACGTCACACATTTTATTCGTTTTGATATCGATTATAGCAACGACCTTGGCATGGCGGTCACAATCATCGTCAGGCTCGTCAGGCATTCAAATTGGTGAACGTGGACCGAAACGCATAGGCAACAGCGGCGATAAAGAACGTTTCAAACAAGAAAACCAAAATGGGAAAAAAGAGGAAAATACACAACAACATTTTAATATAGGTATTGATGCATCGAAAATAATTGGAAAATTATTCCTAACGAACCACCACTAGTTATTTTACCACTCGTTAATGAAACGAATAAAATTAACCACTAGCTATTTTATACCGAATTGGATCCTTTTATCACCATCCGTCGGCTTTAATGCGTTGGTGCTTTTTTTCTCATGACTGGAAAATAAAAGAATAAACCCCATTTTATTTTGATTTCAAAACCGAAGAATGAATGCACATAAAAGCTTTTTCAAAATCGAAATGCAAACAGGAGATTTGCCGTTTTCTTCTTCGTTCATCTTGTTATTCATTGGCTCACGAATTTACTTTTCAATTGTTCCACGATGATTTCAAAGTATCTATTAATCGACCATTTCCATTTCCCATTTTTTTTAAATCGGCAAAACTATTGAATAATACATTTATGTCACTGTTACTATTATTACATGACAAGAATCTCAATTAACCTTTACATAGGACATTTGGTTTGCTGTAGATACAATTTAAGCCGTTCGTTTTCATTTTTCATGTGGTCATGTTCTGTTTCACTATATATTTTCACCGATGTTTTTATTTCGATACTTCTCCTTTAATCATTGTGTAGCTAAATATTCTCTAAAAAATTTTTAAAATGAAGTTGGTCGTTCTAAGTAAAGGTTCCCAAAGCAATGCCTTTTATTTCTTTTTTAAAAGACTTTTCATTCTACATTATGTTATACCACTTGATAGATTAACTTATTTGAAATTTCACATCAATTTTTTAGGTTTAGTTTTACCGCACACGAGTTTCGGAAAGCGTGAATACCAGCGTGCAATTGCATCGGCTGTGTCGTCATTACAAAAAATGCGTGACACAAAATTACCATTTTTACGTGATGTTGATTTTACTGCGAAAAATGTTCATTTCGACATGATTTTGTTAACACCGAGTCCAACAAGTAGGGCACATATTATTTGCAATAAAATTCTATTGTCTAAGAATGGTATATTTGTTTCATTTCTATGCAGCTATCCTCGATACGATGTGCAAAGATTTTCTACAAGCAAATGTATCAGCCATTATTTATTTGGTGAATTACGAAACATTTGGACGAAGCACAGCATCAGCGCAGTACTTTTTACAATTGGCCAGCTACTTGGGCATTCCAGTGATATCATGGCATGCTGATAATTCAGGTTTAGAGCGAACAGCGTCACAGTCACGATTACAAATTCAATTGGCCCCAAGCATTGAGCATCAGAGCGCTGCCATGTTGAGCATACTCGAACGATATAAATGGCATCAATTTTCAATTGTTACATCGCAAATTGCTGGACACGATGATTTCGTCCAAGCAGTACGTGAACGAGTTAATGTTATGCAGGAGCATTTTAAGTTCACAATATTAAATTCGATTATTGTAACGCGAGCCAGTGATTTAATGGAACTAGTTAATAGTGAATCGCGTATCATGCTATTGTATTGCACAAAAGGAGAAGCTGCTGACATTTTACAATGGGCCGACGAGCTTAAAATCACTGGCGAAAAATATGTTTGGGTTGTCACACAATCGGTTATCGAAAATACACAAGCAAACAATCAATTTCCGGTTGGAATGTTGGGCGTTCATTTCGATACAAGTTCGCAGTCAGTTATCAATGAAATTTCGACTGCACTAAAAGTGTATGCTCTTGGTATTCAAAGTTACTTGAACGATCCAGCAAATGCTGGACGCCGATTGAATACACAATCTTTGAGCTGCGAAGTTGAAGGTAAATCACGATGGGAAACTGGCGAAATATTTTATCGTCACCTTCGGAATGTGTCACTTGACACGGATATTAATAAACCAAATATTGAATTCACTGCTGATGGTGATCTTAAAAATACTGAACTCAAAATTATGAACTTGAGACCCAGTGGCAATAGCAAAAGCTTAGTTTGGGAAGAGGTAAAAAAATCTTTTTTATGAGTTGATTTGCATTTCATTACAACAAAAAACATTCCACAGATTGGTACATGGAAATCTTGGGCCCAACAAAAATTAGATATTCGAGATATAGTGTGGCCGGGCAATTCCCATGCACCACCACAAGGCGTTCCGGAAAAATTTCATTTGAAGATTTCGTTTCTTGAGGAACCTCCGTACATAAGCCTCTCGCCGCCGGATCCAGTTTCTGGAAAATGTTTGATGGAACGTGGTGTTTTGTGCCGAATCGCTGCAGAAAATGATATAGCAGAGTAAATATCAATTATTTTATCGAACATGCTTACCAATTTTGGTTAGAAATTATTTTTCTGAAAAGCATACTAAAATATGTAACATTCAATTTATTCATACAGTATCGATATAGGGCAAGCTCATCGGAATGGAAGTTTTTATCAATGCTGTTCAGGCTTTTGTATCGATTTGATTGAAAAGTTTGCCGAACCACTTGGTGAATTATTTTTGCATTATTTTTCATTATTATTGCCTGTCTAACAAGTAAAGTTTATTTTCAATAAACCATTTATTCTATTTGAAAGGTTTCACTTATGAATTGGTGAGAGTAGGTAAATATAACTTTAACTGCTTAAATATTTAATACAGTTTAATTCTTTCTTTTTGTAAATTATTCATACCCTCTATCTGTCTTTTTTTTATTTATTTATTACTGATCTGCATCTAATAAAAAATGACATTGCAGAGGATGGAAAATGGGGAACTCTCGAAAATGGAAAATGGAATGGATTGATTGCCGATTTAGTAAATAGAAGGGCTGATATGGTTCTAACATCATTAATGATAAATGCCGAACGTGAGGCTGCGGTTGACTTCAGTGAACCTTTCATGGAAACTGGCATCGCTATCGTTGTGAATAAACGCACTGGCATCATTTCACCCACAGCATTTTTAGAACCGTTCGACACATCGGTAAGTAGTTTCGAGTATATAGTAAAACTTTGATTGTGTTACATTGCCACACAATTGATCGAATACATTGTTAAACTTTGTCTAATGGTTTATTTATTTCTCTTTGAAACTTTACAGAGTTGGATGTTGGTAAGTTAATACAATGAAAAACTAGCGCAATACATAAATGCTGTTGTTGTTTTTGTTTTGTTTAAACCAAAGTTATTGTTTAGTGATCTAAAAGAGTTAGTGGTGTGAAATTATTTTAATTTTAGAAAAATCTTTTAGATTTTCTACAGCGTGCTTTTTAACGGAAAGCACATTTTGTATGGTTTGTGAATGCAACAAGTGTAAAACAGTGTACCAATACAAAGTGTTGTTCTAGTTTAAATTTATTTCAGAGTTCTTGTGTGACCGTATACAGTGTTTTTTTTTTCTTTTTTCCAAACTAACCGAATTTTATTCTTCCACCCAATATCAATAATTGCCGGAAAAAACATCGCGTACTTAGGTTGGAATTGTAGCAATCCAAGCGGCTACATTTATGATCTTCCTTTTCGAATGGTTGTCACCGAGCGGTTTTGATATGAAATTATCGGTGCAAACGAAGGTACCGTATCGATTTTCATTGCTTCGGACGTATTGGTTGGTTTGGTAAGCGAATGCAATAAAAAAAACTAATGCAATACATATACATTCATGCGGTTGCTGTTTTTGTTAGGGCGGTTTTGTTTCAAGCAGCTGTACATGTTGATAGTCCCCGTGGATTTACGGCGCGTTTTATGACGAATGTTTGGGCGATGTTTGCTGTTGTCTTCCTTGCTATTTACACTGCCAATTTGGCGGCGTTTATGATTACTCGGTAGTATGGTTTTTATGCATGCGGCTTTTATGCATGTCTTTTGCTTTTTTGCTTCTTTCATATGCATTGAGTCCTCATTTAATTTGAAATTTTCTCTTTTTTCCCATCATTTCGGCATATCACTACCTGCGCCAATCCATCGCCACCTTTAGTGAAGAATTCCATGAGTTCACTGGTTTAGATGATTCACGTTTGGCAAGACCATTTTCGCAAAAACCATCATACAAATTTGGTACCACAATATACAGTCACACGGATTCAACGATTTCCAAATACTTTAAGGAGATGCATAATTATATGTCACAGTAAGCGTTCACCCAATCGTTTATTTAAGCTTTTCATTTTTATATACTTTTTATGTCGTTTCTAGGTACAATAAAACGACGGTGAACGAAGGCATAGCGGCTGTGCTCAATGGAGGTCTTGATGCATTCATTTACGATGGAACCGTTTTGGATTATCTCGTATCACAGGATGAAGATTGTCGACTACTGGTTGTGGGTAGTTGGTACGCGATGACTGGTAATTTTGTGTACTGTTCAATTTTTATTGCGATTTTTATTGATTTTTCTTTATATTTTGTCACAATTTAGGGTACGGTCTGGCATTTAGTAGAAATTCAAAATACGTGAACATGTTTAATCGTCAATTGCTTGAGATGCGATCGAATGGTGATCTGGAGAGATTGAGGCGGTATGGAATGAAACCGATTGATGTTTAAAAAAATGTTATCGATAACAATTTCAAATTGCAGATATTGGATGACAGGCACGTGTCGTCCAGGAAAACAAGAGCACAAATCATCCGATCCTCTAGCCTTAGAACAGTTTTTATCCGCATTTTTACTGTTGATGGCCGGCATTTTGCTTGCAGCTTTACTTTTGTTTTTGGAACATCTATATTTCAAATACTTCCGAAAGCGTTTAGTGAAATCGGATCGAGGCCAATGTTGTGCTCTCATTTCACTCTCAATGGGTACATCGCACAGGTAAAGTGTTTTTTCCAATTTCAGTAGTGAACATGCCGTGGTCTTATAATATTCTAGGAAAATCATTGACATTCAGAGGTGCTGTATATGAGGCGCAAGAAATCCTGCGAAATCATCGATGCACAGATCCAGTTTGCGATACACATTTGTGGAAGGTACGCCACGAACTCGATATGGCCCGATTGAGAGTACGACAACTGGAAAAATCAATGGATTCACATGGCATTAAGCCACCAAATTTGAGGTAATTATAAAAGATTTACATCTGTTGGCATTTGAGTAAATTTTTTGGTTTTATTAGGCTTTCTTCCGCATCTGATCTACTGAATCATCACTTCAAAGAACGTCCACCGCTATTGGGTAACTTGAGCCTTGGTGGTAGCGCACAGGATCTATATAGATGGTAATTCTTCAAAAAGAAAAGGATGAGAATCATTTTAATATATCGTTCATACTTACATCCGCAGGTCACTGAAAACAGAAATTGCCGAAATCGAAACGGTTTTGTAAAGCATTGGCTGTTGCTCGAACGGAATCAAATAATAGAAAATCAAATTAAACAAAAACCTCACTACCAATACTATGTGATCTCGTTTGCTTTGAAATCGTGATGGTTTTATTAACACTGAAATCCCAAACCAAAACACAGTTTCGTGGACCATCATAACAACCAAATTCAATACTCATGAGAGCCACTCGAAAAATAGCTTTCGACTCAACTCTGAACGTCATAAACAAAAATAGGAGATTTCATCGTTCATTACATTTTCCATGTGTCATTCTTTCAATTTTATTCAGGTCATTTTGAATTAGCTTCAAAGCACGAGAGCATACCAAATGAGGGAAATGGTTTCCATTTTAATTTTTTTTTTTTTTGGTTTGGAAAATCTCATGGGAATCAAAACACAAATACAAACAGTTACAGATATTGTATACCGAAAATATTTAAAACATTCGTTACACTCAACCATGACATAAAACATTTGAGCAATTGCTTAAATCAAACCATTAAAACAAAATTTTACATCACATTTAGGTAGAATTTATTATTAGGTACTCTAAAAAAACCAATTTGTTACCAATCACAGTCCATATTCTAACGTGAAATGAGCACTCTAACAGTCAGGGGATGTATAACATTTAAGAGAATGACCACACGGTCAGAATGGGTTGTGCTTTCGAACAAAATGATTGTACTAGATGTAAAAGGAAACCGGCGACAAAAGTTAGTCGCGATTTACCCAATTCACCCGTTTCTACCACCGAACCAAAGAGACAAGCACTGTGTGAACGTAACAGTGGATCAGTAGATGAAACAATTCATACGCTTAAAAGGATTTTCAATCAGTTTTTGTACAGATATCAAAACAAACAAAGAAACAAACAAACAAACAAAAGAAAACAAATAAAGATAGCAAAAGAAGATGCTAAACGACGAAGGAGGTGTTGAACAACAAACCGAATTTTATTATAAATTAATATCGTAATTAAAATTCGTCAAGCTAATACATAAATAGGTGTTGATAATTAAAATTGATAAAAAAAAAACATTATTATCAGTAGCTGGAACAAGGGAACGCTTTTCATTGTCATTATACCAGGTTAGATTTTGCAAACAATATCATAAAACGAATGGAACGATACAAAAGAAATTCTTTGTTCGAAGGCTATCCTTTACTGATTTGAACACAGCAAAGTCTTATTCGTGTATAGGCAATGTTAAATAAGATTAATTATCAGTAGATTTCATCACTATACACGCTGAATTAGAAATTTAAATGGAAAAAGATTTATCAGTTCATTAAAATTCACCGCCCGCTCAAATAGAATAAAAAACCCAACAAACAAGTATGCACCTGATTGTTAATAAACATTATGACATGGTATATATTATTAAATGTGAAATATAGTAGAGCAAATCATTTAAAGCGATACATATATATTGAATGTTAAACGTTGACACAATGATTTTATGTGTAAGCATTTCATTATTTTGTTTAGTTTAGGTCATTGTAATGTATTTAGGTTGGAATTGTGTTGCATTTTGTGCACCAAAAATCATCATGTTGTTAGTTATGTTGTTATAATAAAAAAAACAAGAAGTCCGCTCATTTATCTATCGAATAGACAATAAAAATAAAATGCACGAACGTTAACAAAATTCAACTGTGCCAAAGAAATTAAGAAGAAATACCAATTCAAAACACTTTACAGAAGACAATGCATCCTTACAAGATATTTAAAAAAATGAAACAAAAGAAAATTAATACAATGAAACCTTTCCTTAGGTTAGAAATATTCAAAAGTGCACTAAATGGAATGCATTGTGTTTATAGAATGTTCAGTGTGTGCCGAATTTTTTTAAAGTATCAATTACACTTTTGCATAGCAAAACGCTACGTCCTAATTTGTAGATAAATATTTTGGTAGTCAGATTCCTGAACAATTTTTCACGCTTCTTTCCACATTATTCATTTTACCTTCCCATTCGGTTGCACTTTTTGCGGCTCCTTTCTTTCGTTCAATATTTATTTTGGGAAAACAGGTTTGAACAAATGAAATTATTATATTACCCAGTTCATTATTGTTCTAATGAATGACATTTTTTTTTTTGTGTGGAAATTTCATTGGAAATGTTTTTTAAAATTCAATTAACAACCATAAATGTAAAATGAATATTTTAAATGCCAACAGAAACAAAAAATGTTGAAATTTTATTATTGAATGGTGAAACATAAACGTTAGATGTATTATGATGTTTACGATGAATGTTATCCAAAATTATAGCAACCAGAAGAAGAAGAAGAAGAATAAGAAGAAGAAAATACACCTAATTGCGTAAATGTTTGACATCACCATAATTGGAATTATAAATAAAAGTATAAAAAAAGGAAATAAAGAAATAAATAAATGAAAACCTTTCAAAGTGTAATGTATTCAATTTGAAACACCAAACGTCTAAAAAACGTTCAGTTCGCTCCAACTTCACGTTATTCAAAAGGCGTGACATTCACATAGCAACGTGAAATGTCAAAGTGAAAAAAAACCGAAGTACAATTCGGCCATTTAATTTTTGCTCCCAGTGGCATACAGAGCGTAAGTTTCATCGTCAATATTATTTTCTGAATATTCTTGAGTTTTTAGTGGAATTTCATCGAATAAAGTGCATAAATCACTAGCTAAACTTTTACTCTTTTTCAAATCCTTGAATGTTCCCTTACGTTTGGTTTATAATTTCCAAATTTTTGCTATTTTATTTAACACTGACTTCGCCACGTGTTGTTAAATTACATTCCCCGCCTCATACAAACTCCCATAAATTCGTGCTATTTAATGTTAATTGCATTGAATTTAAAAAGAACTTTCAATGTCCTTTATGTTTGTGTTGATTTTTTTATTTGAATTTCTGATCTGCCATGTGATTAATGCACTTTTACAATGCATGCTAAACCTAACCTTACTTTTGTGTGCTCATTACATTGCGGTGTATCGCTTTGACATCAATGTATTAAACATTTTGAAATATTATTCGGTGGGTGTATAGGTTTTCGCGTACCCGTAACTCGAATTTAAATACAAAAAAACGTAAAAATGTCGGGAAGCTCGGATCTTCTAGCCCTCAAAGAGGATGACGTTACAAAAATGTTGGCCGCTACCACCCATGTCGGCTCGGACAAAGTCAACTTCCAAATGGAACAATATGTTTTCAAACGCCGTCCAGACGGTGTTCACATCATCAACTTGGGACGTACTTGGGAAAAAATCTGCTTGGCTGCTCGTGCTATTGCTGCCATCGAAAATCCACAAGATGTAAGTGCATTTTTTCCCGTTTATATTTACAATTTTCGAAATGAACATTTTTATTTGCATGATGATATTTTTTTCTAATCATCTTTCGGGGCTGAAATTTAATGATGCCAACAACAAACTGATTACATAAAATGTTCAATGATTTAAATTGTTTTTATTGTGGATGCTGATCGAATGATTATACTAACAATTTGAATATGAATTACAGGTTTTCGTCATTTCATCCCGTTTGTATGGTCAACGTGCTGTCTTGAAGTACGCTAACTACACTCAAGCAACACCAATTGCTGGACGTTTCACTCCCGGTGCATTCACCAATCAAATTCAAAAGGCTTTCCGTGAACCACGTCTTTTGGTTGTCACCGACCCATTGACCGACCATCAACCAATCATTGAAGCTTCATACGTTAACATCCCAGTCATTGCTTTCTGTAACACTGACTCACCATTGAAGTATATCGATATTGCAATTCCATGCAATACCAAATCAACTCACTCAATTGGTTTGATGTGGTGGTTCCTTGCCCGTGAAGTTTTGCGCATTCGTGGACAAATTTCACGCAAAGAACCATGGAACGTTGTTGTCGATTTGTTCTTCTACCGTGATCCAGAAGAAACTGAAAAGGATGAAGTTGCTACCAAAGAGCCAGCAGCCATCGAAGCAGCTCATGTTCCAGAGCCGGTTGATGAACAAAGTGAATGGATCGATGACACACCAAAATTACCAAGTGTCGCACAACCAGAAGATTGGAATGACGACGAAACTGTTCCAGCACCAAAAGCCAGCTGGGGTGGTGGCGGCGGTTTCTAATTTGACAACATTTGTACAATTGTTGACAATTTGAATTTCCATATTTACATAACTGCATTTATGTATCAATAAAAAAAATCATTGAATTTTTTCAATAAACATGTAAATGCACAGAAAGTAATAGGAACGTGTCTTTTCTCTTTCAAAATTGATTGAAATTAATTGATTTATCTGAATTGGAAAATCTAAAAAAATAACATTTGAATCAAAACAATTTAGTTTTGTTTTTCTTTGATTTTGCTTCGTACAGGTAACATGTATTGTGTATGGATGGCCGAATCAAAACGTTGTTTACTTTGTTACACATTGTACAGCCCTGCACACTCTTTTGACATTACATAAAAATGACATTAAGCAATGTTACATACAACACATAACAACAAATACATGCACAATGGAATGAGTCAATATACGACGAATCTGAGCTAGTTTCTGTCAAATACCCAAAACAGTAAATAATACACAGGGCAAAATTGTGGTATTTGTCTTTTGATTCTACAAAAGTGTAGCTGCCCATTTATTATTATTTTTTATCGTGAAAATTCTAGATATATTTCATATGGTGCTCATTGGTTTCTAATTGATAAATAAGATGGATAAAACATACGTCGCAAACCGAACAAAGAACAATTAATTTAACAAAATGAAAAAAAGAAATTGATCAAAGATCAACCTTGTTTTGTGTTCGTCCAATATTTTGCGTAGTTTCATTAATCTTAACCAGTTTCAATTTCGCGCAGTATTAATGACATGCAAGCGTTTTCGTTGTGGAGTGAATCTTTCCACAGACTTTATGTCGTCGAACTTTAAGCGAAAAAAAAAGTAAATAAAAAAAAGTGAAAATGAATTCAATGCCATCATCAGCAGCACGTTTAATTGTGCCAAATGCCACCAAAAAGCAAATTACAAAATTTGAAGAGGCTGAACATATACACCGACAACTATTGTACGATTTGATGTCATCAATTTACGAATACATATTGATATTGACATCTCAGGCTAAAATCAATTATGAAACAGTGGCGGAAACAGGACATAGAACAAGTGAAACACCACATACAAGTACTGATAATCGCCTTACATCAAATGTTGAATCACTTTTATTGCATATTCATTCGTGTCTCGAGCAAATATTTTTAAATGGTCTACGTATTTTTAAGCCCGACGTAAGTAAATCGTAGAGTAAATATCAATGCAACGACTTTGTTTCTTTGATCAATTTTAACGAAGCATTGCATCATTTCGAATTTGCATTTGAATTATTCACACACAAAAATGTGAGTGATTTGTGATAGGAAATGTGTACTATGTGTACGCATATAAATATATATTACAGAAATTCCAGTGATCCTGATAAGTCGTAATCAATGTTATAATTGTTGGAATAATTTGCAAGCGATTTATGTTTCTTTTTGAACAATATTCTTTGATAAGTGGTTAGCACTTCTGAATAGAAAACTTACATCATTTTTTTTACTTACATCATTGTTTTTATTTTCAACAGAAATCACCGGATCTGTGGCGATTCTTTGAGGCATTGAATTGGATTAATCCCCACATGACAGTTTCAATTGGAAGTCAAGCATTTAGCAGCACGAGTACGGTGAAACGAGTTCAAGCTCCAAAGAGTTCTCGCATACGAAACGACAAAGCGCTTATGTGGCTGTATGAAAATTTACTAACGCATCAATTAAAATCCAAACTAAAATGCATTTTATCCGATCATGAACACTTGACCAATTGTTTCGAAGTGACGCTTGCATTTTTCGGTAGTAAGAAATTTGTTGAGGCCTTGTACATTTGCTTAAATGCATTCGATAAAAAACAATACGACATTCTTTTACAAATCGACCAAAATTTATATCTTAGTGTTATTAATGAATCTATAAAAAATTCGACATCCATTACGTTAACAACGACGACGACGACAAAGACAACAAATGACAAAATGAGCAAACACAACAGTGAAATATCAAAAGAAACCAGTGAATTTTGTGATAGTAAATATACCAGTAAATCTAGTTTGAAAAAGTGTGATGACTTCGTATCACATTTTACAAATAAATTGATAACAAATCGAAAAAGTCGCAGCGTACGATCACATTGTAAAATAAAACATTGTATTAGCTTAAAATTGCGAAAATTTGTTAGTTTACCTGATTTGAGTAGACAATCAAAAGTTGGTATTCGAAATATTGTGCGCACTCGATCTCAAACTATACGTATTAAATCACATCGCTTAAAATTAACAGCTGAAAATTTGGCCATAAATGATCGACAAAAAATCACTGAATTTAAAATCGATAAACGAAAGATATCATCATCATCGGCTCGTTTTGATCAATTAAATGCCATCGCTGTTGATGATTTACAGCCGATAAATCTCGTTAAATGTGATGACATTAAAATCTACACCGATCGACGTAGTGAGAATTCAACAAGTTCTCTACAAGAATATAATAAACCAACGAAAACGATTGGATTAGTTAAAAGTAATAATTTATTGCCATATTTAAATACGTCACATGCATCGTCGACTGTATCAAATTCACCGGGCAAAAAACTCGCTTCGAATTCAGCACCTGGTGATTTTGCATCCTTTTTCGCAGCGAACGGAGCCAAAATTGAAAATCGTTATCACCACAACACAATTTTCGATAATATTGAGTCTAGTACGTCATCACCGCTGTGTAACCATGATCAATGCGCAAATTTAATTCCAAATCGAGGTCAAAGTCTGACATCATACCTACAGGAAGCACAACGTACGCGACGAAATATCACTGATCTTGAACGGGAGAATGCACATTTTACTCTATCAGATGCCATTATTTCAGCCATTGAAGAAATCAAATGCAGCCGAATGGAACGGAAAATAGAAAAACAACACAAAGCCACCATCAAAGCCAAAATCAAGAAACGAAAATCTCATCAGCGTCCAATGAAAAATTGGATTTTTGGCGACGAAGAAAACTGTGATAAAAACAATATAACTGCAACGGATGATGATACATCTTCATACTTATCGTTATCGGAGGGAGATGAAAAATTATTATCGTCCAGTGAATCGGATTCAAATATATCAAGCAGTAGTGATACAACCACGGCCAGCAATGTTGGTGATTTAAAACGATTAAAGGTAATTTTTTCACAGTCGGAGCATAATCTCTTTCAGTCGCTTTAACTATTTTTGGTGTTTCTCATAGATTTTCTCGGTATCATCACACAGTATTAATGATCATTCAGCGTTTGCTGAATGGGCAGAGAGTAGTATCGAAACGCTAACAGCCGAAGGTATTGCTTTAAGTTTAATATCAAAATTCAAGGATTATCAACTTCCTCGTGCGGCTGACCTACTATTGAATACGACTGATAGCGATGTACGTTCATTATTGGATGCTACTTCGAATGGAAAACACCATCAAATTCCATATCAACGCGGTACGGAGCAATGGGCACCGCCTCGACCCCAAATAATCTTTACAAGGCATCCAGTACCAGAGTAAGGAACAAATCAAATTCAAAAACTAACTCTTATCTAATGATCATTTCTTTACTTTAGTCGCCGTAGTTTACTTGAGCAACAGAACCAACGATGTGCAGGATGTGGAATGTTCATCGATAAAGAATTTCTGTACAGTTTACGTTATTGTGAATATACAGCGAAATATCATTGCACAGGTGACAGCCAATTATCTAATTTTGCGAATAGTTCATTGTTCAAATGTAATGCATTTCGATACATTCACAGGTTGTCATCGAAATCAAATCTCGGCGATACCGGCACGTGTTTTGGATCGGTGGGTTAAAATTGATTGACACATATTTTTCATCATTTTTCATTTTATACAAATAATCACCTTTCAAATGCAACGCTTTTTTTCTCACTTGTCACCTAATTGCAACAATTAACATTTAAATGATTCAAATATCAATTGATTTACAGATGGGACTTTTCGTGCCACCCCGTCAGTGTATTTTCGTATCGTTTGCTTGATCAAATATGGAAAGTTCCACTGTTTCGTTTGCCGGATTTAAATAAAGAATTGTACGGCCGTGTTCGAGCGTTGCGATATTGCCGATTGCGTCGTTTGCAATTGAAGTATGTGTACGATTTCATTCAAACCTGCCGTTTTGCCGACGATGATAAGTAAATTGCCTCACTTCAAATATTTAAAATGCTGATTAACATGCATTATTTGATATTATATTTTATATTTTTGCTCGTTTTATTGTAGAAATAAAATCGAATTTGATAGCGTACCGTCTTATATTTATGATGATCACGATAATTGGTCCATGAATGATTTTGTCAATGTGCGCAATGGAAGTTTTGCGTCAAAAATCAACAGCATCATATTGAAGGGTGAAGAGCATGTATTCAATTGCGAGGTATCCATTCAAAAATGTCGTGTTTTCTAAACACCAATTCAAAAGATTTTTTTTCTCAAATATTATTTTCTCTTTTTTTTGGGTAGCTATGCACTGCCCATGGATTTATTTGCGAGTATTGTGCTGATAAACAAGTGATATTTCCGTGGCAATTGAAGGTACATGGGTTAAACTTTGCATATGACACCTTCGATTCTATTAACTTATTACTTTCAGGTTACACGATGTGTAAAATGTGGCTCTTGCTCTCATACGTCTTGTTCGAAAGATCACCAATGCCTCAAATGCCAAAGATTAGAGAAGCGAAAGAAAAACTAAACATCTGCTTTGAATTATAGATCATTCGTTGATGTATATATATATATTTTTTATTGATGTGTAATAAAATAAAATTCTATTTTTTTGTTGTTGAAAAATAAACTAAAATAAAAAAAAGACACCACCAACCAGTCCTTAATCTATGCTGCTTCTATCTAAGTTTTCGTATCATTTTCAGTCTTATTCCAGTGAGTAGTTTTTCGGGTGTTTGATTTAATATCATTCAAATGTTGCATTGCCTGCGCATCATCTTGGTGATTTGTTTGCCGAGTATTTGTTCGTTTTTCGGGTCCAATAATCCACAATAGACTGGCAAAGAAAAATGTAGCATACAGCCAACTGACCGTCATTACGACTAATAAAAGTATTCCAATTTGTTTGTACGCGAGCACACTTGAAAAGAACAAGAAAACGGCAGCAATTATTGTTGTTGTAGCCGCCATTAGCGTTGGACCAATCATATGCGTTAGCGTATATTCAGTGGCTGATTTTCGATCCTTTTTCTCGCTCAGCTGATAGTTTAATGCGTAATGCAGCACAAAATCGATGCCAAGACCGATTGCCGTATTTACCGCTATCGATTCCAATATATTAAGTTTCCATTCGAGCAGCACTAACACAGCCATCGTTGAGAAAATTGTAAATATCACGGTTAATACAGCATACAAACTTAGGCGCACATTCATTGTAAATAATAGCAATGCAATTAGCGATGAAAGAATTGCGATGGCAGCTCCAATTATTGTTCCCGACGACAATGTCTGCTGCAAATCGAAAAAACCGAGTTCACTTGTAAACCAGCCTGATTTCAACGAATCCGGTGCACTTTTCAGCATATCATTAAACCAGTTTTCAATGCCAATTGAAAAATTCTTCATCTCCGTGTACGATGTACTGAACGGTTGAGTGCTTTCGTATTCTATGATCAGAGCTCGGATTGATGAATGACTCTCAGATTCCGTTAATGTTTCGTTTTTCGATTCGAGTGCAGAAATTCGTTCGAATTTCGGACCCGATACGCCTGGAATGAAAATGTAACGGGATCGATGTAGAGAAGATATCATTTCAGGTAGACATCGTTCGAACACTTCAGGTTTGTATGGAAATTTCTCTTCTTCACAACATGGAGCTCGACTTGAATTTGACATTGGATCGTAACAACTGGAATACAAAGAAATTACCAATAACAATAAGAAAATTCGATTTTGTATTTTTCATAAAAGTTAACAGCGCTCCAATATTGAATCAATTCATACCGTTTGTTCATGTTTTCAATTAAGTTTTCGATGTAACAACTCGACAAAATACCGGGCACATTATTTGATTGAAAAAAACTTTGCTGCTTAATAGTACTGCAGAAATGGTGCATCCATTGTTGGGCTTCGATCGACGATAAGTTCAATTTTTGTTGCAAATGCAACGAACCTTTTGAAGACGGTATCAAGTGGTTGCCGTCATCTATTGCATCAATGCCCCACACAAATCGAATGGGCAATTTAAATGTTTCAGCTTCCTAGATCGATAACAAAAATAATGCAATGCATTGAATAATAACATAATACGTTTCATTTTCGTCACATTTGTCTTACCGTAAAACTTTTTTCAAACCGATACCAATGTCGATATTTGCTGTCGTACAATTCGAAGTGGTGATGACTATTCAATAATTGAAATGTTTGTGAATCTGGCGGCTTTAATTTTGGATAATATAACACAATGACTCCACTCGATATGCCAATTATAACTGCAGAAAAAAATTAACGTAGATATACATGGCACTTGACTTACACGTGTGGATTAAACAAGAGTTACTTACAAAAAATAACAAGAAATATAAATTTGAACTTCTTAACCACACGAATAATAGCCTGTTCCATTGAGTTTCCGAACCGTTCGATCAAAACATTTATCGAATCGACGTACGACTGCCAACATTTACACAATTGCATATTCATTTCTTCAACAATTATGACAGTGGCAGGCAGCCAGGTCATCATCAATACGTAGTTTACCATAATTACAGTTGCAGCATATATACTAAAAATATATTACAAATTAAAAATAGTGAATATATTTGCATTTGCAAATACGCGACCTACCTAAAGCACTGAATGGCTGTAATTGGACTGGAATAAGATGCCATAAAAGCGTGTGCCGTAGTCAAGGATGTGACGAATATTGATTTTGCTGCATGCTACGATTTAGAATTAACTATTAATCAATAAATTTGTCATTGATATTAAATCGTACTCCACCTCCATTGTGTTGGTCACCAAAAATATTAACTTTTTCGCACTTCGTTTGGGTAAGTGTTTTGCTGTTGTATCCCATTCGTCGGCAGATAAACGCCATTCTTTCACATAAATAAAACAATCATCGGCACCAATACCTTATTAAAAATGAACATAGTTTCAATTAGTCTCTTCAAAAATGTATTAGATTAAGATATTTACTCACCAACAATTACGATAATTGCCAATAGATTCATAAACGGAAAATATGGAAGCTGAAGAACGACTTGATACACAAAATAGGCTACACCAACCGAAAGGACATTTGCAATCACCGTCGAAATTGTGATCAAAATTGAATTTGTATATATTAAAATACATTTCAAGACACAGATAGCACCCAAGCCGATCAACCAGCAACCATTTGAGAATAGCAAATCATCAAACAATTCATTTTTCAATCCCATATCAATACCAACCACTGAAATCACCTCATTATTTTCGATCGCTGGCACAATATCATAATAATATGGCAATATTTTGGTGGTTTTTGCAATTGGTAAAAATAGCATTGTTGACGCCAATATATTTGTTTCCTAAAAACAAACAAAGAAAAAAAAAACAGTAAATGATGAGCAATGAATTCGTCATAATCGTATTTAGGGACCGATGTACTCACATTAAACTTGTTATCGGTTAAAAAATGTAAGATTTGATAGACCGCATTGAATTGCATACATTTTGATGGAACAGAACACTTGAAGTATTCACAATCACTTTTTAGACTTCCGTTCATGTAGTAATTGTAACAATCATTCAGCAGCCCATTCGCTAGCGATAAATCACTCTCCTGTTTCGAAAATATTAAAATTCATGGACATTTGCTGTCAATTATAAATATGAGACTTCTCGCACCTCAATATCCGAACAACTCGTTTTATTTGACAGAAGTGCGATATAGTTTGGTATGCTCCACGAACGGCAACATTCTTTGGAGTGTGCTTTCAACTGACAAAATCCCCTGTAGCTCTCAATTTTGGTTAACTTTTTATCTAGTTCACATATTGCTTGCATGGCATCCATTTTCAAAAGAGTTGAATTTCCATTGGATCTCATCAAAACCATGTGTGTGTATTCACGATCTGCCCAAATAGTTGCGTAAAAATGCATAAAATATATTTCAAATATTCGTTAGTGAAAAAACGTCTCTTTTTCTTACTTGGAGCATCACAGAAATAAGCATCGTTCATCTGTTCTAGCTTCTTGCGTTTGTTTTTTCCTGATTTTCGTGCATTTTTCCTTGTCTTGTCACTGCTTTCTTCCGCACCATTCGAATCATCCACAATATTTGGATTGATTGAAAGCGAACTATTTTTGTCACCAAGAAATTTGGCCAATTTATGTTTTTTATGCAGTTTGTCAACATTTTTCACAGGTTTTGTGGGTTTGGTAAACTGTTTTCATTGACAAAAGATTTGTATCATTTGTATTCAAAGTGAAGAAGAAATGTTCAGTGCTTACATTTTGTCGAAACACAGTTTTTTCGTATAAATTCGATGTGAGTGTACCGCTTGGTCGTAGTTCTTCCAATAAATGATGCCAGGCAGTCAATCGACTGGCAATCGGAGTTCCACGTGATTCAAATCCCTTTTGTTTTCACATGCAAACAAATAATAATGCCAAATCAATTCATTTAAATATCATTTAAACACCAATGAAATGTTTACCAGAGCAGGATCTGTAAAATCCGGTAATTCCTTAAATGTCAATGCAATAAATATACAAACACTTGACAAAATGAACACAATCGATGCCACCCATCGCGGACGCAATGCTAACAACTTATAGTACCAAAGCATCATTTTGATAATTATTTATTATCGAATGCAATCGTCCATTTCAAAATGCATAATCCACAATTAAATACACCAAAATTAAAATTTAAAATTAAAAAAAAACACACACAAATGCTGTACAAATGAATTTTGCCGACAGTAAAATATCGATATGTTTGTTGCGGTGTATGAGTATATTTTTAGTCATCGCCACCTGTTGTTGTCAACTTTTGTTTATAATTTATCTCTCTTTCTCTGTCATTTGCATAGTCATGTTTGTGTGTGTTGTCATGCAGTCGTCTCACTTTAACGTTGGCCACTATTGTTATAGTGTCTTATGTTTTTGCTTTGGTCAATAAGACATTTCATCGCTTTCGTTTCTATCCAATTCGTCTCTTTCTTGCGTTTATATCCAGGGAAGAAAAGGAAAAGAGTGCGTTCCACATATCTCGATCATTACAGTAGTTCAGCATGATACATGTAAGACAACATAAAATACCTTCACTTGAATTTCAAATAAAATTCCATCATCTGCAAGAAAAAAACAAAATTTTGTTCTAGAATAAAAAATTTCGTTGCGATTTTTTTGCGATGCTGGAAAATATCACATCAAACGTAAAATAGATTGATCAAAATTGCAATAGAATTTTTATTGTTGGCATGATTAAAGTTTTTTGATGACATGAGCGAGCCATATAATGACTTTACGTAGACTTTTCCTGATAGCGCACATCAGCCAATACAGACAAAATCAACTCGTTGCGTGCAAACATCGAGAATTTGAATCAAACAATGGGTTCAATTTAGTGTATGTTTATTGTATGGTTTTCAAATTAGATGAATTGACAGTTTATTATTAATTTTAAGCTGAACTGCCGGTAGCACAGCATTAACTTTTGATTTACATATTATTTACAATTTGGTTGTTTATTTCTGCTGTTCGGTTATTTTATTTCATTTTTTTCGTCGACATTTTCGATCAGAATGAAATGCACTTGAATTCAACTTGTTATTTATAGGGCGACGTGTATTGGTCATAACATGCAATCTGTTCAGGTGGACATGCAAATTGCAAATTAAATGAAATTATCTATGCGACTAATTTGACACTGGTGTGCAACTTTGATCGCATTAAATGAATTTTCCACTACATGTCTTATCATCGCATCAAATTCATTTCAACGATCATCGTTATGTGCAAATTGAAAGAAAAAAAAATCCGACAAAAAACTCAAACAACACAAATACCACAATACCAACACACAACCTTCGACATTATCGAACAAAGAGATGATTATAAAACGTATATGTTTTCAGCTATGTAGTTTTTTTCTCGTTTGTCGATTTTATTTCCGAAGGGAGTATGAAGCTACTATTGTGCATTCCAATTAATTTGTCTTTGTCATGCGTCTTTTACATTCATATGGAATTCGATTGAATCTTAACAGTGTGCAATGCATGAAAGTGCATAGATTCACCTCAAACTATATGGGCGGTTAATTTGTCTTTCTTTTATTGAATACGCGAATTGAAATGAAAAAACTTTGCTCATTGCAAGCGCTTGTCGTGTAATGACGTGTGTTTGTTTCTTGTGATAAAGTCCTCTCATCGCGCGACTGATCTTGTCTTCCCTTCTTATTTGCTAATCTCAATGGTTATTTGCCACTTTTTTTTATTGCGCACTATTGTTTTGCGATTGTGGAACGGGTCGTTTATAAATCACCCGTTTTCTCGTTTAATAAAAACGTGACATCATTTATGATCTGTATTGGACCCTCTATTTTATTTTGTCAGCAAAATGATAACCCAATTATTGCTGATGCCAAATAAAAATTTGCTATTATTTTGCAATTGTCTTTCGTGCGAGATTTAACAAACATTGCTCCTTGTTTTTCAACATTTTTTCGTTTAAAGCCATCGCTGTGAATTCACGTGATTTTTCTGGCAGATTTTCCAAGACTCTTTTTTATTTACCAACAATTATTTACTGTTTTAACGACATTATGGCGGCGTGATGTAAATATTCGTCATATTTTATTGCCCAATTCTCTGTTTTTTTTGCACCGGTTTTGTTGAGTTTTGGAATCTTCAAAAAAGAGTAAATAAACACTGTACTCTATCATTTAGAAGCATAATACATGATATTGTCTCATGTAATCATCAGAATTTGATACAGTGTTTCAATCCACAAGCATTATTATTTGTAGCAAAATCAATTTATTTCGTTTTTACCCGCATATGAAAATAGTAATTCTAGATTAAAAATAAGCCACTGAATTGTGCAACTGTTTATGAATCAAATAAAAACAACCTTGAAATGAAGACGCGTCCTTTTCCGATTCATAAGTAAGGTTTCACAAGATTGTTTACTACTTTCGTACTTTTCTCCATTAAACAATAATATAGAATGTTTGTTATATAAATGACATATTTGATCAACGCATGTAAAAGGCCGGCTTGAAAAATGATACATTTGTTTGCTTTCGTTGATGAGAAGCGAGATTCAGTTTGAAAGTTAGCGACAATTTTTCATTTGTTTGAACCTGAACACTCGAGAGTAAATTTTATGACATGAGCGTTGCTACGCTGAATGGATTGATTTATAATGGGCAAATATGTTTTCCCGGCATTGTTTCATTTGTCGCCGATGCAGATTTAGCTTGAGTATTATATTTGAATAAAAATGGAGTAAGGTTGTGTAAATGGAGCAAATTGACGCCAAGACTTACAATTAGGTTAACATCACATGAAACTCGGATATTCTCAAACAATTGAGATAACATTTATACAATAAATCTAATAAAAATATGTTTAAAATACGGTCAACAGGTGATGACGTAGTGAACGTCATTGTATGATGACTGATGACGTTTTCTATTTTATAGTATTTCAAATGCTTTTTTCTCGTCAAAAGATAAACTATTTAAGGTAATTAATAATAGTTGTGGCTAAAAATAGAATTCCGTTTATTTTGCCACTTTTTCAAGACAACACAGCAAGTGTGTCGAAACCAAACTTGACTACGTGCTGCTTTCGGCAGTCTCAAAAAAAAAATCAATGAAATAGTCAGCTCCCAAGAAAACAACATCATATCGTTTGGGTGCCATTATTGTGATAATTTTTTTATCTTGTCGCATTTCAAACGACGCACTGAAAGCCACTCAACTACTTTATTTGACATGGGCCTTGTTTGTTATGAACACAATAAGAAGAGAAAACAACAACGATTAACAACAAGAACAAGAGCAAGGCAGCAAAGAATTTGTGCGCAAAGTCTTGAAATTTGACATTTTGGCAATGTGATAAAGTTGACGGCACCATTTCAGAGAAGATTATGGGAATGATTTGCAACCGGCGCTCGATTGCCAGTAACAAGTAGCTAAGTAACCAAATAACAAAATCCATTTACAAGTACGTTTTACGAAGATGTGATATTTGCGAATGGGTTTATCGCCAAGTACAAAATGATTTGTCTGTATCAAATTTTATCTGCGTCTTGAAAATTCAGCATATTTTCGGATTTATATCGTGGAAATAAAAACGGTTCAAAGATCGGAACGAAATAATGATAACGTCTGGCCAGTCGGTCGCAAGTATGTTTTTTTTTTCATAAATTCGTCAATGTTAATCTATCGATAAAATGTGGCGAGGCGCAATCAAATTCGAATCCGTGTTATTTTTAATAATGACGAATCGATGTTGAAAATAAACGAATCGTTTTGATGGACATAGGGGAGAGACAGGGAGAATATAAATATTTGAACGAATTAATTGGATCATGCATTCTATTGTATTATATTTACGGAAGTAAGTGAATATTACCGAACGCTTCATCTGACAACAATGTGAATATGCTTAAGGCCTTAAAGAGTGTCTCAATAAATGTCACCTATTCGGTCTTCCTGCTTGTGTGATTTTTCCACACGGTTACAACGTTTCTGGCATTGAACAGGGTCATTTTGATCGACGTGTGTTTGTTCTGATATTACACGTGTATGCAAACACCTTTTCACTTCTAATTTTCGACTTTTACGATAAATTGATTCTTTAATCGTTTTCAATCATTTCAACAAATAAAAAATTTCTGCAAACAAATAGTCAGCTGGTTTGCATGGTATGCGCCAATTATTATGCTCACACTCTTAGATATTGTTAACTGATCCGTGTTTTCTAAGTAAAATTGATCATTTAGCGAAATGTAAACATGTCTCGTTAGCACAATTTGAACGATGACGCATTTAATTTTATAGTCTTGATTTAAATTCATTGTTATTATATTTTGTGTATCGTATCTTTTCACACAGTGAGTAGAAGATATAACAATTTGGTTATCTATTTCGTTTGTTTTCTTAAGCCTGGATCTATTTACTTATTTTCAATTTTACGCAAATAGAGTGTGGGACGTCAACTGTAAGTGACAAAAAAAGTATATGATGGTGTGAGAATGATGTGCTGATGATTATAAGATTGCATCGACGTAAGCTCAGATAAGTGATATTAACGTACAAATTATGCGTACAATGAAAAGGCGCTAACTAAGTATCAAACTACCTTTTCATAGAGAAAAATATAAACATTTATGAATAGTTAAGGAAAATTTCCATAATTCTCATAAATATGTGTGATATAATAGCCGATGTGGTTATAAAAAGTTTTCCACGCTTTTTTCGATGTATTATATCGATGTTTTCATCCATCGGTTCATCAACCGGAGTATTCGGGACTTGAAAATGTCAGTCTGAAGATGTGCTAATTTGTCTTGAACAGAAATACCAAAATATTCACGACTAGAATCTATTTGTTTTGACCATTTCTGTATATTCTAAGTCAATTGCTCGAGGACTAGAAGCTAGGGGAAAATGACTCGTTGTAAGTTCATAAGTATCTGTAAGTTTCACAAGTTCGCGCAAGAACTCTTGAGTTCTACATACATTTTTGTAAGTTCGTCCAAGTTTTACGTAAGTTCCTATAGATTACTAGTAAGTTTTTCAACGTCAGTTGAAAATCGCAGAATGTTGGAAATGGTAATAAATGTTAGTCATGTCGAATCAGATAGAAAATAATTTGTATAAATAAGTCGAGATAGTTTTCGGTGAAAAAATACCAAGAAATATAAATTCGTCTAATTAGACGTCATTTTTGAAAGAGTCGGTTTTGATAGTGAATAATCAGTAATGTATCTCAAAGATCCACAAAGAATTATTGCTTATGAGTCTATGAGTGTTGGGAGCGATGCTTCAATATCAAAATCAGGTCTTTTAAGGATGAAATCCAATTTACTAGGTAATTTTTATTTTAAAATGCGTTCTACTCTTTTGTACAAATTATTTGCGTGAGATGTAATTGAAAAAATTGACCAGCGTTGTGTCATTTGACTACTACATGTGCGACTGTTTCGGCATTTTAACGCATATCGAACATACAGCAGTGTGTTGATGTATATGGACAAAGCGTAAGTTCGTATAAATTCTCATAAGAAGCGTGCGATTTCATAAGTTCGTGTAAGTTTTTGTAAGTTTTTCGTACAATTCTATAGCTTTCGTCGAACTTATAAGTAGTCATTTTCCCCTAGACTAGAAGGTCGTCTGGTTGGCATAAAAACGCAATTTCTCATATGTTTATGATCACGTTTTTTTGGTGGCAAACAAAAAACTTCAATATTTGCGACGATTTCATTAATCTACTCTGCTCACAGTATTATTTACCAAATATTGAAATATTTTGCGATTTACGTGTGATTGTTGATTTTTCCATCATAATCTGACATGGCAAAGAAAGCGAAAATATTGACATGCCAATAAAAATATATAACACATACAGATGCATTCTTTGAATTTTGATTAGATAAATTTTTAGAGTTTCTTTAAAATGAAATCAAGATATTTCCATTTGTTTTGTATCATTACATGTGCAAATCTATAGTATTTGAAATGTCATACAATCTAGAAAACAATACCCTTTATTAGTTAATTGTTTCGAATAAGATTGTCTTGCTAAAATCATAAACATTCTGACGCAATTTCCTTTCTTCGAAACTTATCCACCAAATTCCTATGGCATTATTCTTGATTTTGATAATTGTTTTTTTTTTTCAACGATAAATTGCGGGTTTTGTCAAAGTTAAACGGTTTGGATGTGATGCTTTTCTTCTTCACACATAAATATAGTTCGAATGACGACAGAAAACTGGCAAAAATTCTCAAGTCTCATTTCCTACACACAGATACACAACTCAGTGCATTCGATATTTAATATTCAGGAAACCATTTGATAAACAACATAATGATAGATGTACTTCAGCGCTTCCATATTCATTACATTTTCTACATGATTATTCATTTTTTTTATTCTCGGTGTTTGTAAATAATTTGATACTTCCCCCATCTTCCAAGATGTTTCAATTCAATGAATGAAATTGTAAAATGATCAAAATGAGATGCTCATTTGTGATGAAAGATTATTTCAAATATATTTTTTGCTCTTTCTCTTTCACAAATGTGTGGATATCTAAACTTTTCGTTTTAAACACACAATGTAGTAAATAACGTTAAGTAGCAACTATTTCGATTTCAATGGAAATAAAAAAATTAATTGAAACAAATTGATAGTTTGATCTCCAAGGAGGCTGCACCAAACGTAAAGTGAATTGAATTGTTTTAAAAGACACGCTGTCTCGCTCGTTCTTCCTACATACGAATCCACTTTTCAAATCATCGATTGAGCGAAAAAGCTGGTTCAATCTGAACAAATCTCCTCTAGCTTTCGTTCTAAGTTTGTATGAAAAATTTTAATTGATTTGCCCGATGAACAAAGCAAAACGAAATGAAAACAAAAAAAAAAGGTTTTTTCTTTAAATACAACTGTTCGTGGTGCGTAAATTTTGAGCATGCGCTACAATTATTATATTTTAAAATAGTTTTAAGTACAATCTGGTACTATCTTGAATGTGATCAATACGATGTGACGTCGACTTCCATTGATTGTTTTAAATGATTCTCCATTTTTTTCTGCTGCTTTAAATTCATATTCCAGTCGCATCATGTCAACATTTCATATCGATGGAAAATGTGTGTTTCCTGTAATAAAAGCAACCGAGTGGAACCAATACACATCCGAGAGTGAATGAGACAAATTGATAACATTTAACGAGGCAACAAATAAAATACAAAATATAAACATATCCACAGCGGGGGCAGCGCAACAAACACAAAGTACTGTGAAAGATCTCATCGATAAGAGAGTAATGGAATCCATCAATAAAATCTAAAAATAGACACTTGGAAATGGGAAAATGACTGTACGGCGACTCATTATTTTGGTATTATTGATTGGAACCGGTCAAAAAACATTTTCGCTCATTAATAATTATGAATTTATTATAAAAATACAACGCTTTTCACAGTGTATGTCGATGTAGTTTTTGTTTTTGTTTTCGTGACGCACAGCAAACCATGAAAAATTGTGCTTTTTTATTGTTGATGCACGTTTGGTTTAAGGATTGTATAAACGAATCAAAATACACTAGTTAATTCAAATAAAATGAACGGCTGGTTAGTTTCCTAATGTTACGAAGTTCTAAATATAATAAATTTATTGTATTGGATCATGGTACCATTGTGTGGCCTAAAATGAAGAATCATTGCTATCGATTTCTTGGTGGCACGTGCGTGTAGATATAATGAACTATTTGCCTTGAGTATAGAATTTTCATCCGACAGCTTAACAAAGGTTTGATTTCTTTTCAACAATTTCTTTTTGGAGTTTTTTTTCATGTACTTCGCTGTGTACATGAGTAAGTTTTTCGTCCCTGGTGATTCATAAAAATGATAATAATCCTGATAACATATATACTCTGAGGCGAGTAACTCATGTGAAAAAGAAAGACAATGATAACTTTTTTTAAGCATAAATAATGATAAAACACGATCGAGATTAAGCTCATTCAAGCTCAATGAATATTTATGATGTGTAAGTATATAACAGTAAGTAGGCTGTTTTTCCATTGTTGTTAAATTGTTAACCGTTTTTTTCTCGTGTGTGTGTGTGCTTTCATCCGTCAGCAACAGGTAGTTCAAGTTGTCTGTATTTTTTATCGCCTTTCAAAAGCTACTTTTCGCACTCTTCAGTCGCAAGTGCTGTTGTAATCAAAAGCACAAATAAATAATTTTGAATTTTTTTTATTTACAATTTATTTGTTTACGTTTCGTTTTTCCATCTATATTCTCCTTGTACTCCCGTTTGTCGTTTTTTTTTTCTTCTTTGGGCTTTTTTTATTGATGCTCATTAGATCATGGCGTTGAATGCATGCGTATGTTAAATGATTGTATTTGAAAAAAAATAGACGATGGCTGTATTGGCGAATGGTTACATTGACTTCGTACGCAAACGAACAGTAACGACAACAACGACTACGACGATAATTGTTTGTCTTTGTCTATCTCTAGTCCATTCCATTGACTGTCTCTGTCATATCTCGTATCTGCCTACACACATACAATCATATTGGTTAGCTTTGTTGTGCATTATATTATAGGTGTATTGGTTTGGTGCGGCTGTGACTGTGCAGCCACTGCTTTGGGAAACAACAAAAAAGGCAATCGTATCACAGGTGTGCGGCATTCGACAACTTAAACGCTTATCGAAAAACACAAATTTTCAGTTGATCTTTCAATCTCGTACAGTTCAGATCGAAAAAATACCATTTAAATAACTGTCCTCAATATTTGAAAGAAACACCATTAATTTCATAGGAATTTTTTTGGTTTCGTTGATTTATAATCTACGTTTTATTTTTTTTTTTCATTCATTTCCGATTCACAAACAAAACCAAAATTATTGGTGAATAACAGTGATTTTTCGTTAAATTTTTTTTAACTTTCGCCGATATCAGTATTTTAAATTTTAAAGGAATTTCAATTGGGATTTTTCTTTTGATAAATTCAGACAAAAAATCAGTGATGTAAACTAATCGCCCCAATACCAGATATTTAAAAAGACACGAAAAACACTTAAAGGACATTTGATTCCAAAACAAAAGAGAAAATCCTTTTGCATATTTTACTGTGATAACGAGTAGAATTTACGCAACGGAAGAAAATCAATTTCACTAAAAATCATATTTTCGCTACAAAATAATATTTTGTGATAGCGATTCGGTGTGATTTTTTTGGCCAAAACACAAATTTAATATATAAATTTCTTGTGTGATCGTGACACATAAAAGGTACGGCCAAAATTTCGGTGTTTGGAGAAAGATTGTGTGGTGATAAAGTTCAGGTAAATTTTTGATAAAAATACATCTTTTTTTCAGTAATGATCACAACGGGCCACATAAATTAGTGATTTGTTTTTTTTTTTATTTTGCATATTTTCGTATTATTTATCGTTTCTTTTTTTTAAAACGTTCGGTTACAAGTGGCATACAGTTGAAATTATAACTGTTCACAAAACTACATGAGATGCACGTGACGTGTTCAAAAATTGCTTAGCGTTCATAATTATTTTCTATATTTTCGTTTTTTTTTGTGTTAATTTTTTTGTTGGACAAGCGTTCTCTCTTCCTCTAACCGCATCAATGAGAATTTTAATTTCAATTTTTTTTCCTGTGTTGGAATAATTTGTTATATAAACTATGATTAACTACAAAAAATTGGCAAATTTCGTGATTTTGATTGATTTATTGTGTTCGCTTTCAAAAAAAAAAAAAAAAAAAAAAAAAAAAATTTAAAAGGTATTTTCAAAAATAAAAAAAAAAAAACAACGAAAAAAATATATCTGTGGTGATAGGTGAATCTTCTTGTCTTAAAAAAAGTTATCGAACGGTTTATCGAAGTCGGCTTACCATTTCTCAATTCCAATTGCACACAAAAACGAATGGTGGAAACACATGTCGAAAAAAATTGTATTGCTATAACGTATGCAACGGAACACAAGGTTTCACACTTCGGACGATCGATATGATGAGACACACACAGTTAATAAGAAAAACAGACACAACACAAAATCAACACAATCGAAAATACGCAAATAAAATTTATAAACCGATTTTTATTGTGATGGGAATATTATTTGTTTAAGGCCATTTTGATTGTTTTTGCTGTGTGATTAGCCTATGATGTATATTTTCCATTTCATTTCTCTTTGTCATAATTCACACAAACCAAGCCGTTCAATTTACACACGCATGTACAGTAAAGCGCGCGTTCAATTTCGATGTCTGACCGAAAGACAATGAATTTTTGAAAATATTTACACATATCATGCATTTTGTAACTGAAATATGTCGACACATTGCACCAACAGATCACGTCACAATTTTTTTTGTTATATTTGATGTTTATTCTCATTCTAATTATTTAATTATGATTTCCTTCCCAAAAAAAAAACCAAAATTTTTACTGCCATTTTTAAACAATTATTTTAATGGCGCGTTGAGTTCCTTGAGATAGATGAGTGTTAAATGTGATCAAATCAATTTAAAAGCACGAGTTTTGTACGAATTTCCGTTTCAACGAGAAAACCGAATGCGTGAAACAAAGAAAGCTAACTCAAAAACCAGTCGAGTATTTTAATTTTTCAAACAAATTAACGATGACGTGTTTATTCGGTACAATTTTCGAACGTGTGTATGATAATACACGCTCTTCTCTATCCATTACAAATCGTGCTCTGTCGGTTTCGGCATTTTTATCAGTAAACTACGACCAGGAAAAAGGCAAAAGAAATATAGACAAGTAAAAACAAATAGAAATTTCAGCTCGTAAATATTCAAATTTTCGAACGCATTAAACATGAAAGATGCTTATCAATGAGTATTGAAAATGCAAATATCTCGAGAATATGCTGATACAAACGACGATTGGCTAGAATAATCTTTATTGATTTTAATATAAATTGTTTGCGAGCTGCTGCCCGTCTCTCCGCCCCTAAGAAAATAATAATAACTTTTTTTTTTCAACAATTCAATCGGCATAATAAAAACTGTGAAAACAGTTCATTTCAATGCTGTACTATTAGCCTTTAAATTAGTTTGATTGCTGAGAAAATAGTATCGCCTCTCACGAGTGATACAAAATTTAAATATAAAACTTTTCGATTTTTTAAAAAAAGTCCAAATAACCTACAAAATTGATGAAATACACTTCAATCATCTGGATCAATGCCCAAAATTCTTTGTGGCTACTTCACGTGATTTGTGACTATTAGTTTGGCTATAGTGTACGATGTGCTTTATGTTTTAGAAAGTTGTTTTTATCTGTTTACATGAAATCAGTGTTGTTCTTCAATGTGTGTTCATATGTTTGTTTCTTCTTTTCCTTGGATGCGTTGCTCGATACCCTAATGGCGGAATATATGGCTCGGTTGGTCTTTGCTCGGCTCAGAAACACATTTAATGCGTTTATGTTGTTAAATTAAACGACTGATTTTATTTGCGGTGTATCGTTGTCATTTGCGATGCATAAAGTTTGGCGCCAGACGACGTTCGACTGGAGCGTAAACATATATAAAAGACAATCTCAGCAAAATTCATGCGCATGTGAATACAAATCACTCATGCTAATTATGCGAAATAATTTATTGGTCATTTCGAATTGAAAAAGTAGGTAAATTTACTGATGCATTATGTGTTGTATGTGCACATCTGTGCATATATTCTGCATGTAGCCAGCGATTGCACCAATTCACAATCGACTGATGATCGTCTCATGTGCGAAAACGCTCTCACAGCTGAGAGTCACACCGCACACGCCATATATATTCAATGCATAAAATATCGCGCCGACCAATCGGCCATGCATAACACAACAAGATTTGTATAAATGCGACTAATTAATTGAACGTGCAACAGCATGAGCCTATGTGCACGTTGGTTCGTTTAATACATTGTGAGTCATTCAACTGGCCAATTACCAGGTTTGCAGAGTGCCCAATCAATAAATAAATCGCAATATGTGAATACATATTACACGCTGAAATTAAAGTTCGGTCTTGAGATGTACAAGACGATTCTACTTGTGCGCCTCTTCATTTCCTTTTTGTATGTGCGGTGCTAAAAATGCACAAATAGTCAAAAGACACAAGCTGTGAAACGATGATGTGCTTTCGGATTTCAACTACGCCTTCAACTCATGTGTGTTTTTTTACGATGGCTAAGTGTCCGTTTCGTATTACACCATTTAAACTGAATTCTTTTTTACTCACGAAGAGACCCCATTGCACCAATTTCCATCATAATCGTCTGAATCATATGGGCGATATTTTGAGGAAATAATCGATAGGCTGCGTGTAATTCTATCGAAAGAATTCTTTAACAATATCAAATTACACGTGTATTGTAAATAGGATTTGTCAAATGTCAAGTAAAAACGATTCCGTTGAATTTTGATTGGGAAGGGGCAATGCTGAAAATAAATTGATCTTTTCAAAATCAGTTTTACAGCCTTCTTAAAGTCAAAAAGAGAGATCCGCTGGCAGGTTTGATTTTGCCGTACTCATTTTAACAGCGATACGACGACACATTCATTTTTGAAAAGCAGTTTTTTTTAATGGCTAATACTCGCAAATGGATTATGACGCAAACGAACCCGAACAATTTTGCTTATTTCTTCATCACAATTTTAAAGTGAAATGATTGACATTTTGTATCATTAACATAAAAAGTATTTTGTGATTTTATTCTGAATGAATGCAAAAGATCTGCACCCTGTCAGCAAAAAGAAAAAAAAAACGCAAAAGCGAACTGGTTCAACCGTATTCGAACGAATATGATTTCGCATTAATTAGTTGTACGTGTAAACACGGCAATACGATATGTATGTAACAATAACAAAGGAAAAAGTTAATAATTATCAAGAATTGCGTATACACACTGATTTTACGGACAGACAAAAGTCGAAGAGGAAAAAAACGGTATTAATCATATCAATAACAACAACAATCTCAATCGGTTTTTTGTGATACGGATACGGTTGTGCTCACAGCTCTGTGAGGTGCACAAAAAAACGTAATGATATTTTGTCTCGGTTCAAAGTTTATTCCTATGCATTTTTAAATGATCGCATTCAGCGCAGACACCCGTCATCTATTTCAGTTCGATGCGCTTCAATACCGCTAACAATACCTGTGTGTCACATATAATTGTTTGTATTTATATCGATTCGTGTATCGGTGCTTTTGCGTTTATTGCGTATAATAATTAAATAAGAATATTTTCAATAAAGAATTCATTCAGTCGTTGTTATTTTTCGATAGCTGATAAATCATTCTCAAGTTCGAAAATGAAATTTTAATGCGTGCGACTAACAGATGTTTAATGTTGTGTGTGTGTATGTGCCTAAAAATGGATCGATTCAATTACCAACAATGTATATATTGCAAAGGTTTATATCAGAATGATAGCACGCAATGTAGTAATGCTAGTTTAAATGCGGGAATCACCACGTCCTAAATTAAGCTATATATTTTTCAATAACACCAAAATTACCCCATCTATATGGTAGTTATTTCTTCTTTTTTTGCTTTGATTTTGTTTTCATTTCAAATCAAACCATTTCAGCTATCTTCCAATTACTTATTCATTTTCAATTCCGAGTAAATTTATCAAATGCTCGGTTCAAAATCAATAAAATAACTTTCAGAAAATGATTTTCCAGTACTTTTCTTGAGTTCGAAAAAAAGAAGCGTTTCATAGTGCTGACCACCACAACATATTTGAAAAAGAAAAAAATCAATTACCTCTTCTACACTCTTCTATGGTATTTTTGAAGGGCCCATGAACTTTTCGGTGTAATGTATTATCCATTATAAATCGATGTAATGAACGATGCGACAAACACAAATGTGAATAGAAAATGGGAAAGCATAACATACGATGGTATTTTAAATAAAATGGAAACAATATCAATTTTGAGATAAGAAACCGTAGCAACTGCCCCCAGAATGTTTATAATTAAACTCATTATTTATGCATTAAATTAAACTAAATATACTTGTATTCATTCAATACGTACAGTTAATGATTTTGTTTTGCGTATTTGCGTAGATTTATTTAGATGTAGATGTTAGTAAGTTCACTGTATTGCATTGCGTTACATGTGCAGTTTATCTAATTAATTTTTATATATCGAATAAATTAAAATAAAAGAAAACACAAAATCACATTTATGAAGGTGAATACGCATGTTATATTTGTTTCAAACATTATCGATGGAAGTTTCCCGCATTCAAATTTAAATTCTTTCCGAAGAAATCATTTAAAAAACAAGTATAAACTCAAA